CACGGCCATATCAGGCAGCTCCCGGGAAGGGCAGGTGCATGCCTGTGATTAGACCTTCTCTATGGGAGTACGCGGCCATACACCGCCCTACACGTCCGTGCGGGTGTCCGTTACTTGTACGCTGACAGGATGGATCCTGTCTGCGTCCGAGCCGGGACACCTGCACTTGGAGTGAGTGTAGGGCGGCGTACTCCCATAGAGAAAGACAGGGGCTGCCTACTAATCACAGGCATGCACCTGTCCTTCCCGGGAGCTGCCCGATACGGCGGTGCATGCAGCACGGAGCTGTACGTGCCGGCCTTTCCTCGCGTGAATGAGGCCTTAAGATCGTAGTGTACGTTCTACTCTTTCAGCACGACGTGACGGAACAGATCTGGAGTGAACCAGCCCCATTTATTTTTCAGTGCCCTTCCGTTAGCATCCGTTGAAAAAGGAACCGCAGCATAACAGATGGCAACCTAACGAATCGGTGTGAGTGGGCCCTTACACGCATACACGTCCACTAGGAGTTCCAGATTTTATTTTTGTTGTTTATCACCACTGATTAGATTCCATCTGAGCACAATAATAGTAGTAATTTATAATGGGGGTTACTCTATACCAAAAATAAAAACGAGAGAAAAAGAAAAAATATGTTTTGGCTGGTGAAATACACATTCCCACTTATACAGGTGAAACTCGAATAATTAGAATAGCGTGCAAAGTTCATTCATTTATTTCACTAATGCAACTAAAAGGTGAAACTAATATATGAGATAGACTCATTACATGCAAAGCAGGATAGTTCAAGCCGTGATTTGTCATAATTGTGATGATTATGGCTTATAGCTCATGAAAACCCCAAGAACCCCAAATCCACAACCTCAAAAAAGTAGATTATTACATGCAATCAATAAAACAAGGATTGTACATAGAACAATATCGGACCTCTGAAAAGTACAAGCATGCATATGTACTCAGTACTTGGTTTGGGCCCCTTTTGCAGCACTTACTGCCATTACTTTTGCACGATATTCTAATTATTCGAGTTTCACCTGTATATTATTATTACTACAAAGCATGAAAACAAGTTACAGTTATCATTATCACAACATAGTACCGAGGTGTCATAACAGAGCCGTGGTCAGACACGAGCTGCCATTACAGTCCCCACAGCTAGTCTGATGACCCTTTATCATTATTGTACAATACACCAACGTCTGAGCGCAGGATTCCGGCTTATCACTTTCCTGTCACCATGACTGAACAAGGTCATCAGAGACTATATAGAGATAAAGGATCAGAGATCTTGCTGCACTCCTTACCGGAACATCAAGAAACTTGTGCAGACGGGTGGGTGCTTGTAGTGACTACGGATGGCACCGTGAAAAACTCAAATGAAGAAATAACGTCACCAGCACTCCAAGTAATAATTTAGCAATAGTCCGTTTATTGAAACATTGCCATTCAATACAATTAATGCATTCAATGGCAATGTTTCAATAAATGGACTATTGCTAAATCATTATTTGGAGTGCTGGTGACGTTATTTCTTCATATATAGAGATAAGGACACATCTGCATGAGAAGAAGAATATCCAGAATACTTGCCGAGCCTTAGAAAGAATGTGAAGTCCTGACAATGTATTGGCTGCCCAAACCTATCTCAGATTGCAAGCTCTGTGGCCAAGAGCACCTCCTTATACCCTTCCCACTCTTTAAAATAAAAATTACATTCACCTTCATTGTCTGCATATGGAGACAGTTAGATCAGCTTCTCCCAACCAGTGTGCTGTGCCGCCCTGGGGCACCTCAGAATTTTGGCACAGAGTCATGCCTTTCCATGTTGCAGGCAAGCTTCTGATACGAAGGAAAATTCTGATGTGAAAAGTGGATCCTATTTTTGGTGTGTTTTGCATAGGGTCGCCCTTTCAATATTCATATCAGACCAGTGGCGTCACAAGGGGGGGGGTGACACCAAAATGACCAACAGTCACTTTGGGGGTCACCCCCTCTGAATGGTCAGGCACATAATCAGAGCCTGACATCTGCACGAGAGAAGAGGGGACCCGTCCGCCTACCTTATCCCGCCACATGAATGCCCCCCTCCTCTCTGCCGGCGTCCATCACCAAGATGGCGGCCGGCAGTAAAGTGCATGATGACGTCGCGTGTATGTGATGACGCTCCATCGGGTGACACCCGGTGGCCGCACGAGGTGACACCTTTATATCAGATGCCTATTGGGGATAAGGGTACGGTATGGATCTTGGGGAGGGGCCACACATCATTCTGTACATTTTAGACTGGGGTGCCTCGAGATTTTGCACTTTTTAAAGGGTGCCAGAAAACGGTGAAGGGAGAGAGGGAAAGTGGTCAGACAACTCTGAGAATTTTAATCATAGAGTGCAAACCCTTAGGTCCAGTTCACACTGAGCGATTTATCGCACGGTAATTCCCACGATATCACGGCTATTTACCGCGAAATATCGCTCTCCAATGCATCTCAATGGGGCTGTCTGTAGCTGTCGAGGGTCGTGCGTCACTAAAGCAAGACCCTTTTTGGAGCGGATTTTGCCGCAATTCTAGCTTGCTCAATGCAAGCATTTGCGTGATATCGCGCAACAAACGCGCGATAACGCGCAAAATGCAAATAATGCGGCAGTGTGCCCCATTCACACTGAGCGATTTGCAAATCGCGCGTTTGTCGGGCGATTTGCATTTTGCGCGATATGCTTGCATTGAGCAAGCTAGAATCGCGGCAAAATCCGCTCCGAAAAGGGTCCTGCTGTAGCGACAAGCGACGGACATAGCCCCATTGCCATGGATTGGAGAGCGATATCGCACGGTAAATAGCCGCGATATCGCTGGAATTACCGCGCGATAAATCGCTGTGTGAACGGGGCCTTAGGGTTTTAGAGCCATGGGGAGGAAATACAGTGATCTGCAAATTGTCGACTGCCAGAAAAACTGCAATCTTTGAATCCGGGCAGAGAATGCACCATTCAGAATCAGTTATGCCGCGATCATGTTTCAGGCACGGCGAGTTAGAAGCGCATTTTTCATACATTATCACTGAACACTTTGTAATGCGCATTTTGCTGGAGAACGCATCAAAGATGCAGCAAACACCCCCCCATGCATCACCCTTACAATGCAGGGATAACAACAGCTGTGATTTATGAACTGTTATTATACAGGATTTATATAGTGCCAACAGTTGGCGCAGCGCTTTACAATATAAGGAAGACATTACAGTCGCAATACAATTCAAGACAAGATGGTAAGGAGGGCCCTGCCCCGGAGGGCTTACAATCTAGAAGGGAGTGGCAAGTGATACATGAGGAGGTAGCTGCGTGGGGATGAATTGTTTGAGAACAAGATGGTTGAGTGGTTAGGTTGAGGTGGAATAGGCTTCCCTGAAGAGATGAGTCTTTAGGGATCGCCCAGGTTGGGGTAAGGAGTTGAAAAGAATAGGAAGAGCGGAGGGGACGGTTAGGGTGATACTTTGAGACCAGGTTGGAGATATAGCCGGGGGCGGAGTTGTGAATGGCTTTGTAAGTCGTTGTTAATATTTTTAATTTTATCCCTTGGGTGATTAGAAGCCAGTGCAGGGATTGGCAGAGGGGGGCGGCAGACACTGAGCGCTCTCAATGGAAAAGTTGCATGGGGTGGGGGGATATCATGATTTTCCTATCAGCCGGGACAGATGACAGATGTGCCCCATGAGATGAGCAGCCAATGGCACAGGACTGGACACACAAGGGTTGTGATGTAGGATGGATGGATGGTGAACAATAACTGCTGAGAGGGAACAGTTACTGCAGAACCTCTTACCTGTCATACATCTCTGATTGGACATGGGGTGGTGTACCTGTACCATACATCAGAAGAGTGTGATCATCATCAACTGACCACATACACACATCGCAGTGCGATTGTACAATTTCCGGTCATCTGTCCATAGACTGACCAGTTTTTCTCTTTCTGGTCCATGGGGTTTTGCAGTAGTATTGTATTCGGACATGGAGGGTTGTGCGGATGTCAGAACATCCGATCGGGTCACCGATCAGCTGTTCTTTTGCACATTTTTGGACCGGCTCCTTTAACAAATGTCAATTATAACATTGATATTTGTTGAATGGAGGGGTGCTGACAGGGCCGCACACTGCTGGGATTTTAGCTGGGTCATCAGGATGAAGTGTATGGCCGGCTTTAGACACCTATGTAGAGCCCGGACCAGCCTGATTGGATATGTAGACACCGATGTTAGACGGGCCCTCAGCACTAGCTGTGCATGGCTAGGAGCAGAGCTGGGTGACAGGTCCCCATCACAAAGTTAAGCCCCTCCAATGATCTCCAACACAAACTTCATAGCCATTGTATAGAGATGACCAGACTCTGTGTACATACAGAACACTGAGCAGCCAGAGAGCCGCAGGTCCCACAGCCGTCACATGGTGTGCCCGGCCTGTAGCTACACCCTTGTGTGTGACCAGCAGAACCTCTGACAATGCAGACCTCTCACACCCCTCCGGGTGGGGGAGGAGGGGTAAGTAGTGAACTCGTGAGCTGCTGCAGAATTTCCTACCAAGCAGACCTGTCAGTCATCTACAGCTGCACCCAGAGAGCTATATGTATTACAGATGATTGCAGTAATAAAAGGGGCACCAGTGTCAATCCTGTACTGGGATCACAGAGGGGCCCATGAGATGGGCTACAACTAACCCATGGCCTTCAGGTGTACAGCACTGCAAAGAGGGAAGCTGCTGCAGAACATCTTGGCAGGCAGGGCTGTCAATC